TCAAGGACTCTTTTGTCTCTACCACTCATGTGGGAGACCCAGACTGAGTTCCTGTTTCCTGGATTCAGCCTGGCAGTCCTGGCTATTGTAGGCATTTAAAGAGTGAACAAGCAGTTGGAAGATCTCTCTGCATCTTTCTTTCTCTCTCTCTCTAGCTCTTTCTCTCACTACATTTAAAATAACATGAAAATAAACTTAAAACATTTAGAATGAAAAGATATTGTTTTTTTTAAATTCTAGTATCTTCCAAAATAATGAAATTGACCTTAAAATAAATCTCTACTTATCTATTGATTCAGTCTATTATAGATTGCATTTATTTGCTGCATTTAATTTTTAAAGATTTAATTATTTTATTTATTTATTTATTTGAAAGCCAGAGTTAGAGAGAGAGAAAGAGAGAAAGAGAGAGAGAGAGAGAGAGAGGGAGAGAAGATGATGGAGGGATCTGGTTCATTCCCCAGATGGCCCCAATGGCCAGAGCTGGGCCTGGCTGAAGCAAGGAGCCTGGTGTTTCTTCCAGGTATTCCATATGAGTGGCAGGGGCCCAAATACTTCGGCCATCCTCTGCTGCTTTTCTCAGGTCACTATCATGGAGCTGGATCCAAAGTGGAGCAGCCAGGACTCAAACCGGAGTCCATATGGGATGCTGGCATCACAGGCGATGGCTTTACCCACTCAGCCACAATGCCAGCCCCTGCTTTTTTAAAAAGATTTATTTATTTACTTGAAAGTCAGAGTTACACAGAGAGAGGACAGAGAGAGAGAGAGAGAGAGAGAGAGAGAGAGAGAGGTCCTTTGTCCGATGGTTCACTCCCCAGTTGGCTGCAACGGCTGGAGCTGCGCTGATCTGAAGCCAGGAGCCAGAGATTCTTCCGGGTCTCCCACGTGGGTGCAGGGGCGCAGGGACTTGGGCCATCTTCCAATGCTTTCTCAGGCCATAACAGAGAGCTGGACTGGAAGAAGAGCAGCTGGCACTCATATGGGATGCTGGCACTTCAGGACAGGGCATTAATCAGCTGTGCCACAGTGCCGGCCCTGAGCCCCTGCTTTTAAATTTGCAAAGCTACAACATATACCTAGATGGAGTTTATTATTAGCAGAGGAAAAATTGTGATTCACAAAAAATTGCTAAGTCACACAGGTCATGAGAGGAAGGACTGAGCTTTGAACTTAGCTATTTGACCTCAAATCTTCCATAATTCTGTTTCATATACTCACCAGTGTATATTAAATGAAGCTGGACCTTCCTTTCCCTCCTGGAAACCTGAAGTTATTTAGGAAAGAACCTATATTTTATAACTCTAAAGAAAATGTTTTAATGATTACCATTTTAGCATTTTAGAAGACAAGTAGAGGATATATTTTGGAAGAATTCTTTTGTGATATATTTGGTTAGCCATTCCTTTTATAAAAAGAGTGAAGATTATTTTTCTCTACTCTTGCTTCTGTCTACAGGCAAAGGAATGGGTAGGATGAATAATCCAAATTGTCCCAGGCACCTTGAACCATTTTTATGATTAGAAAGAGCAAAGATCCCAGCCAAAACCTTTTCTAGCATTTCTACAAGAAATTTATAGTCTTACCCAATAGTCCAATCAATAAAGTTGAGTAGGAGCCAGGAAATGAAGAATTTCTGTTTGCTGGAAACTTTTTGATTTGTTCTATTATCATAATTGATGACCTGGAATCAAGAACTTACTCAACCAGAATATCAAACATCTCATTCTCACATAGACAAATGCCTCTGGAAACCAATTAGGAAAATGTTGTTGATTCTCTCAGCTGTTCTCTTTCCTGGTAAATTCCTTTTCTTTTTTCCTGTTTATCTGCCTAACATAAATGCTACTCTGGAGACTTGTGCAGGGTTGGGGAAGGGAGAGGTTATCTGGAGAGCCTAATTCATAGTCTGCATGTCCAGAAATTTCCAGGTCATGGAGAGGACATTTATGAAATTTGTCTTTGAAAGAACCTTACTCCCTCCACACAGGTCATTCCTTGGATATCAGATCATCAACCATTTTTTTTTTGGATTTGTCATTCTTAACACCTCCTTTAATCTGGAATTTCTTCAAGCACATCGGACTCACATCCACCTTGAAACTTTGCCCTTAGAGTAAACCCAACCAATAGTTGAATAAACCCAAGTTTCACTATGGCTGGTAGCATTTAACATGCAAGTCTCAAATCAAATACCCATAGAGGACTTTCTTGACATCTCTAGTCAAATTTCATCCCCAACCTTTTCCATCCTATCACCCTGCATTATTCTTTTTCCTTACAGAAATGATCATTCACAGAAAGTGTCTTAATTACTTATTCATTTACAATCTCCACTTGAATAGAAGTCCCATAAGGGCAGAGACACTGACTAACTTATTTATGCCATATCTCCACTTCCTATATTAGTGTGTGGCATATAGTAGAAACTTAATGAATATCTGTGGAAGTAAATAAGGGAAGACAATATCATGAATTTGCTTCTATTGTGTTTTACACATATTCTGTCTTGCTGTGAAATTTATTTCATTGCTCATTTTATGTATTGATGACTTCTTTCACAATTAGTTGTTCAAAAAATAACCTATGTATCCTATACCTTTTATATCTTTAAATCATGAATATAAAACTGATTGATTAATGCTTAAAAGCAGAAAAAAATGGTAACCATGCAATTGACACCAAAACAACTATCATAAAAGATAAAGCAGGTAAATAGGTAAACATTTGGAGTTCCTCAGCTACTGAAAGAATAGCTTAATTTTTCTATTTGCTTTAGGTTTTACTTTTGTTTGAGAGAACCCAGTGAGGAAATATGCAAACAGATGTTGATCGGACTAGATGTCCTAAGATTTTTACCTTGAAACTCTATTCCAAATGTGTTGATAATTGGAGGTGGGGATTTCAGATATAATTGTACTAGGAAGGTGGAGCACTCATGATGGGATTAGCAGGGTTTTTTTTTTCACTTTTTTTTAACTTTTATTTAATGAATATAAATCTCCAAAGTACAGAATATGGATTACAATGGCTTCCCCCCATAACCTCCCTCCAACCCGCAACCCTCCCCTTATCCACTCCCTCTCCCCTTCCATTCACATCAAGATTCATTTTTGATTCTCTTTATATACAGAAGATCAGTTTAGCATACATTAAGTAAAGATTTCAACAGTTTGCTCCCACACAGAAACATAAAGTAAAAAATACTGTTTGAGTACTAGTTATAAGAAGAGGAATGAAAGAACTTGCTTCCTCTCTCTCTATGCTCTCTGCCATGCTGGCACACAAGGAAAAGTTGGCCATCTGCAACCCAGAAATTCAAACTGGACAATACTAGAAACTGATCTGAGATTTCCAAGCTCCAGAGCTAAGACAAACACATATTGATGGTTTAAGTTACCAGTCTATTGCTATGGCAGCCTGAACTGTCTAAGATGGAGGGTAAATTATGAGTGTAAAACACATCAGAAAATAAGGTGGGATAAGATATTGCAAACGGTGAGGAAGATGGAGAAAGAGCAAAATAATTTCTAAGTCTGAGACACTGGAGAACGGTGATGTCTTTGATATAAAAAAGATTGAAATACTGACTTTTGCAACAAACTGGATGAAACTGGAGACCACTATGCTTAGTGATATTAGCCAGATCCTAAAAGACTTACATCATGTTTTCTCTGATTGATTGTAACTAATATAGAGAGTACAAAATAAAAAAAACCTTAATGTATATCAAGCCTAACCTGTTATCTTATGATCTGACTGTTGTCTATAACCATTGTCTGTATCCCTACAGAACAGTGGTCTATCTACCATTTACTTGTAGAGCTCTTTATTTAGAGGAACACTGAGCCTGTGATTATAAAGTAATTGAAAATAGATTTTTATAAAAAAATTAAAATATAAAAAATAAAAGAAAGGAGAAAGGAATGAGGGAAGAAAATGTCAATGTATTCTTGGAATATCTACAAAATTCATGAAATTTGTTCTCTATATATTAATAAATAAAATTGTAACAATAAAAAAGGAAATAGGAAAAACAGCTCATTGTAGGTGTGGGGCTGAATTTAGGTTTAGAAACACTAAGCTAAAATTGGTGACAAATATGCAAACAGAGATGTGCAACAGGAAAGGAAAAGTTACTCTGAAAATAGAGATTAACAAATTCATTCTAGGAGAGGACCTTCATCACAACAGTCAACACTTCTTAGGACAATTGGGCCCCATATCGTAGTGCCTGTGTTCAAGTTCTGGCTCCACTTCAATTCCATTTTCCTACTAATGCTCATCCTGGGAGGCAGCAGGTAACAGCTCAAGTACTTGAGTTTCTGCTACCCACACAGGAAACTGGGATGGAGTTCTAGGCTCCTGGGTTCAGCCTGGCCCAATCCTGGCTGATATAGGTATTTGGGAAGTAAACCAAGTATGTGAAAAAGACCTCCACCTGTTTCTCTCCCCTGCTCACCAACTCTGTTTTTAAAAATATTTTTATCAAAATAAACAGCTTTTTATAAAGATTAATTCATTCATTTGAAAGGCAGAGTTACAGAGATGGAGGAGTGACAGAAAAACAGAGAGAAAGAGAGAGAGAGAGAGAATCTATCTGGTGGCTCATCCCCAAATGACCATAATGGCCAAGGCTGGTCTAGACCAAAACCAGGATACAAGAACTCCATCTTGATCCCCCATGTTGATGGCAGGAGCCCAAGCACTTGGGCCATTTCTGTTGCTTTCCAAGGCATATTAACAGTAACTAATTAGCAATTGAGCTACTGGGACTCAAACCAGTGCTCATGGGTGCAGCCAGCACTGTAGGTTCTGGCTTAAATCACTGTACCACAAGGATGATTCCAAATAAACTTCACTTTTAATTCCATTTTCTATGAACTTTGCAATTTCCCCCTCATATTAAATACTTTTCTTCTTTGTAGGTTGTTTTTATATATATATATATATATATATATATATATATTTAAATTTTTATTCGTATAAAGAGAGCAGATTTCATGCCTACAGTTCTAAGATGATAACCACTGTTCCTTCCCTCTTCCTCTCCCTCCCTCAATTCTCCTACTTCCTTCCTGGTAAAACAAACATTGGCAGACTTAAAATCCCCAGAGTTGAGTATTTTCTCTGGCCCTTTCTTCCTTTTCCTATCACCACCGCTTGGCTTTGGTTAAGATCCAGAACAGGCAACAGCACTAGCGCAAAGGCAGAAAAGAAACCACTGAGACTGATGCAGACCCCTGCCCTGACCCATTGAGGGGTAAGTTAAGGCTTCTGACATTTTGGCCCCAAGTGTGAACTAAACTGGCACAGAAAGAGCACAAGCATCCTGCCGAATGTCCCATTGAAAATCAGGCGCAAGAGAAGCCACATCTTTCCCTCCTCAAAAGGCTTCTGCATGTCCTCCTACCCACAAGTCCCAGAGGACTCACATTGCCAGCTTCTCCCCACACTGACACTCAAACACCCGCCACACTCAACAAATTTCATACTTTTCACTTGGTCCCATTCAATTCCATGTGGTGTTTTGAAAATATGTAAAGGGAAAGTGAGGCTCCAATATTTTTCCTCTCCTCATAAATATGGCATTTTAAATAAGGTTCATACATATTCATCCTTTGCTCTTTCTTTTTTCTAAATGTACACCTATAGCTTCAGTTTTATTCATACCCTTCTCTGGTTCCCTGGTTTGAATTGGAAAATTGAAATGTAAAATATTAACCAAATAGTAAGTTGGCAAAATCTCACATTTCAGCACAAGCCTGCAAAGAAATGGGGAAAGTCTTGCAATAATTAATAAGCAGGATAGTGAAAGGCCACATCCAGCTTATATTTTAAAAAAAGAGGAATATACAGCAATTTGTAAATTTGTAAACAGAGCATTTATGAGGAGTGAGGGACTGATTGGTAGGAGAAATCTGTGACGTCAGTGCTATTAATTTAGAATCACACTTCAAACATTCAATCTTAAGAATTCTCAGGTGGTTTCAAACTTTGCCAGAGTTTCTGAAGAGTGTGAAGATTCTCACACATTGGTCCCCCTCAACTACATGCCCAAATGTGTCCTGCACAGATAAACCCCATCCAAAAATCATTATTTTTTTTTCTTTTTCTCTCTTTTAAAAAAAGAAACTGAGCAGGAAATCTCACTTAAACAAGCTGTCTCACGACATTTCTGGCAGACCCTGATTCCAACGAAGTTGAAAATATCTCAAGAGCAGCCTGTCATACAGAATTTCAGAGCTTCTGCTCCTAGGAAATGCAGAAATAGATGGATATGTGGGATTCAAAAGATTCAAAACATCTGAAGGAAAAGCAATTTGATGTGAACTGCAGATTGACCTGCTTTTATGTGAGGAGCATATGTTGTGTTTCATGTATCCGTTAGCTTTTGCTGTGTAACAAATCTCAGTGACTTAAGACAGCATGTATTTATTGTGCATGCATCTATAAGCCAGTTGGCCAATTCCATTGTCCTTAACTATAGTCAATCACAAGTCCTCATTTAGGTACGTACAAGGAAAGCTAGCTCTGCTGTTTTTCACTGAATTCACTCATGCACTTGGTCTAGGTTGATGTGGATGGACAACCGGACTCTTGTCTCTGTGGTCACTCTGCTGGTCTGCAGACATTGGCAGCATTATAAGAGAGGGAACAAGTGTGCAAAGCCTTTGAAGGCCTAGCCTACTCTCAGAAGAGGCAGACCATTACTCAACTGTATTTCTTTGCACAGACCAGCCCAGGTTCAAAGCCCAAGGAAATTGACTCCAACTCCTCATGCAAAGACAGATTGTAAAGGGTGTGGATATGAGCATACCATTAAGGGAGGCCATTAATGAATTCCCCTAATATACTTCATTTTAGAGAAATACACTTTTGAGAAATCCCATAAAGATCATTTTAAGTATGTTCTCCAAAATGTGCCTGATGACAGCCTCTATATCAGGCATTCAGACAACAGCACTGAATGAGAGCTTTGTAGATGTGTGACCTGTTACCAGAATTTGAGGAGAGTAAAAACAAAAAAATGTATATTAAAGTACTGATATTCAGAAAATACATTACAATTTACATATATTAGATAAATTGCCTTCCACATTGTCTATCTCACGCATGTTGGTCATGCAGCATTTCTTAGATGAAGGCGCAATTATTGTACTCAGAAATTTCTTACAAACTACTGCCCCCTATTCTGAGAGTTTAGATGAAAGTGCTTTTTTTTTAAATCTTACCAGAGGGTATCAACAGAAGTTTTTCAGAAAACAATCAAGCTTTATATTACTTCTCCAAATGGTCTTTAATGGATATGGTTACTGAAGTACTGAGAGGTTGTGATTGCTAGGCTACACCACCAACAATAATAACCAGGTTTTCATTAATGTATGTGATAACAACTGGGCCTGCCTATCTCTTATCTGACTCACAGCAATCATGAGCATCTATTGGTTACAAAGTGACTTCAAAGATGTTAAAATGTAAACATGACAGGTATCTTCAAATGGATGAAAAGTGATATTCCATATCACTGTTTTTACTGTACACAAAAATATTTTTTCAGGACACTGAATGCTTTGATACCAGGTCTGCAAACTGTGCTATTAGCCTTGCTGTTTTTCAAGATGAAATGTCTCCTTTAAAGTTTGTCCATTTTTATCTAATTAGAGAATCTAATTAGAATGTCATTTCAACTGTTTCCAAGGGAGAAATATTTTCCTTGGGACACTGGATGACATTGCCTTTAAAAATGAATATACGCCTTTTTGAGATCCTTGAAATAGTGGAAAGCATGGGGCAAAAAGGACACCCGGCCCTAGCTTCCAGGGCACTTTTTGTTCTTTTCCTATCTTTACCTTTTCAATAAATTAGTGTCTCAAAGTTTAACCTTCGTCTGTAATCCATCTGGGGCTTCCTCTCATAACTCACTCCAGAAGGAACATTAGTAGATGTGAGTTTTCTCCCAGGGATTCACCCTCCTTCTGTTTTAAATCAAAAAATGCTTTTGCAAATTAGCCAAAGGAGACAGGCTATAAGCTTCCTGTAAGAATCCTTCAGTGTGCCCTCTGGACTTTTTGTCTGGCTGTTCTCAAAGGTTGTGCAGGTTTAGGGTGGACATTAAAATCTACATGGAACGTGTAAACAGCACATGTGGGGACAAACACATCTTCCAAAAAATCGATAGGCATCTGCAGAGTTGCTGCAATTGAAATGCACAGCATCAGTGCTTACCCATCAGAGGCAAGCAGGTAGGCATTAGATTTTTATGGTACAAGCAGTTCTTAAAGACCATGCTAATGCAACAGCTTCATGTCATATAGGAAGAAACATTAGTAAGTGTGTATAATGAAGCCAGATCTGCCCTAGCCCCAGGATGCAGCAGAACAAAGACATAAGGACTTACTGAAGGACATATAGTGAGTAGGATTAAGCCTTTCACTAGGACAACAGTGCCCTCACTCCTGGTCCAGAATTCTTGACAGGACCTGCACTTTTAATGGACTTAGAATATTTGTCAATAAGGAAAAAGAAGAAAAAAATGGTACCTTCTAACTTGTGATGCCCTGATTCAATATTTGTCCTTCTCTGGTTACTCACTTCCTTGTAGGACAACAACAGAAATTCACTAATCGGGCTAACTGGCAACCTCAGAAACAGACCTAAACAGCCAGGTCAGCACCCGGAGACCATTCCATGAAACATGAAGCAAATTTGCATTTCATGTATTCCTGCCATTATTTACACTGCTCTGACTCTGTACAAGGTCTGAAGCAAGATGCAAAAGGGGATAGAAAAGGAGAAAGATGCAGCCCAGTTCTCATAAACTATTTAATTACCCAAACTAACAACAACAACAACAACAACAGCAAATGTGAATGCAATAATTGCAGAAAAGGTGCACTGTGGTAGATATCAATTTGGGCTGCAGGAATAAAGTAAGCTCAGTGTGGAATTAGTCAGAAAGGCTCTCTGGGGAAGGCCAATCTTAGGCTGAGTCTTGAAAGAAATAAGGAATGTACTGGATGAAATTCAAAATTTTTTTGTCTAAAGTCTTATTAATGTTTAAGGATAGTTTTCAAACCCAATATTCCATTTATTTCCTTTGGGGTACTAAAAATGCTTATGTTCAAATCCCCTTGTTTTCAATGTACACAAAAATATTTTTCCAGACATTGGATGCTTTGACACCAATGTCTACAAACTGTTCTATTAGCCTTGCTGTAATGTTTGTCCACTTCAGGTTAATCCATGTCTATCGCTTCCATTCTTTTAATTTTGTTCATTTCATTTCACTTTGTTCACTGTTCTCAATTCTGATGCCTGTGTTTCACAACATTTGAGAATCTTTTTATAGGTTTGTTTCTTTGTCCTATGTGGCCTTCATTTCTGCAGTGGCTTTATTTTTCTCTTTCTTTTATTTTCTAAGCTATGATAGTCCTGGGTCTATTGCCTTCTATTCTTATGCTATATATCTTACAAGATCTTTTGCACTTCTGTGATATTCTACCTTGTAGTTTTTTAACCGACAGAGGCATTTTTTCTGCATGTAGGAGGTGTTCAGTCGCATTTTCCAGCTGTACTATGGATACTTTTTCTGAGGCAAGTTCTCTCATGAGGTTGTCATTCTCTAATGATGTCTCATTATTGTTTTTCCCTTTGCTTTCATCATTTTTAAAGATATGTTCCATGAGCCTTTCTGTTTATTACTCTTCTTTTGATGGGAGAGCTCTTCCAGGATTGGCTGTTGGAGTTTGCAGTGATTCTCCTTATGACTGGTGGTAGGTAGGGTATAGTATGTGAAGTCTCATAGCCATTTAGGGCCATTCTATCTCACTAACAATAAAGGTCAACCCCGCAGAGCTTTTCACAATCAGAATTCTTTCCCACTGACTTAGCAAAAAACAGCTTCCTGCACCTCTAGCTTATGGTGTGACCTGAAGCACTTGTTTCGTTGGGGTCTTAGTTTTAAGAATTTTTAGGCAAGACCATCAAGCATTACTCTAGGAAGAGTTCTCCCTGACAACTGGGGCAAGACTCCTCTGTACCCTACAGAGCCCCATCAGTTTTGAGCTGTCCAGTCTGGCTGGCTGGGAAACAGGCACTGTTCTGATTCTGCCTGGCTCAAGCACTCAGGTTCTGTTCCTTACACTCCTTCCAGGTGGTTCTTTTCCTCAAGTACTTTTATCACTTGCACACACTGACCACTGTACTGAGAATTCTCGAGGACCACACTCTGCACATCTCAGGTTTCTCTCTGAGCAGCAAGCCTCTCATTTATCTGCCCTGCAAGCACTAGCCATGCAAACTTTTTTAAAGATTTTTTTCATTTACTTGAGAGTCATAGATACAGACAGAGAGAGGGAGAGACAGAGAGAAGTTTTCCATCCACTAGTTTACTTCCCAAATGACCACAATAGCTGGAGCTGGGCTGTTCCAAAGCCAGGAGCCAGGAGCTTCTTCCCGGTCTCCCACATGGGTGCAGAGGCCCAGGCACCTGGTCCATCCACTGCTGCTTTTCTAGGCCATAGCAGAGAGCTGGATCAGAAATGGAGCAGCCGGAACTCTGGCTGTCACCCATAAGGAATGCTGGTGCTGCATGCAGAAGCTTAACCTACTACAACACGGTGACAGCCTTGAAACAACTTCATATTCCTGACCCTGTCCTCTCAATGACAGGATCCTTTGGGCTCTGCCATGGCTCCTCCTTTCAATTCCATGGCCTCAAATGCTCTCAAAGCAAGAAGTTTGGAGAAAGTCAGGTTGACAGTCTGTTTTCTGATGTCCAGGTTCTGGAAACCATTGTTTCATACATTTTATCTTGTAGAGGAAGGGGTAGTTTCAGGTGGGATGATAGCTGAGACACAACAATAAATCTAGGTTACGGTGTATTCTTTGGTTGGCCCTGATTTTCTTGCTTCAAACAGTAACCAGGAAAGTTCCCTTTGAGTCTATTGTTCCAAGCAAGAACTTCAGGTTTTGTTACTTAGAATGTGCCACCTATGCTATACATGGATTCTGCCTTCATTATCTGCGATGTCCACCAGGGGATGCTCCCTCAGCATGGTCCTGCATGGCCATTTAACCTTTCCTGCATTGGCAGCCCTTGATCTTGTATCATGGTTAAGAATAACAGATGTCTCCTGGGTGTGTTGTTTCACATTTGCTTTTCATTTTCTTTTATTTTGGGGGAAACTATCAGATTGCCTCAGCTTTCCCTCCATCTGATGCTGAGCTCCTCAGCATGTAAGGAGGCTAAGTTGAAATGCACGGAAGTCTGCTCACACAGCAGGGAGTCTGCACACTGGGAACCCTTAAAGGGCATTTGCTGATAATAAAGAGGCATGCAAGGAAATTGATAATAGCTGAAGAAGAACAAGAGAAAAGGGTACAATAAGGAAGCAGACTAGCAAACGTTGTAGATGAATAGACACACCACTTATTTGTTCCAATCTGAATGATGTCTAAATATATACAATTAAGTATTTTTCAGTGAATGTATGTATTATAGAAATGTTTAATAAACATAGATCATGAAAGCAAGATACATGATCAATCAAGAAAAGAAAAAGAAAGATATTTAGGAAAACAAAGTGTATGAGAATGCAAACATGGCACACAATATCTGTTTGTATTTCTCAAAAGCTCAGTAAGAGAAGCAGCTTTCCTCCTAACTAACAGACACCCCTTATCTTGGCTTCTATGAAGCATTCACTAATGGAAATAAAAATGAGCAAAAACTTAGAAAAATGTGATAGTGTCAACTGTACTCAAAGAAAAAATATAATTCCTTAGTTACTCTAATTACACATGCAGAGTAAAGCAATTGCTTGCTATTTACTGGAGTATGCCAAAAACAACTTAATATTAATAAATATTGGTGAGAAATCACTTTGTAAATTTTAATTACTTAACAAAAGCAATGAAATAATTTTTAATTAAAAAGTATGTACACCCATAAGTAAAATGACCCCTTGTGCTCCAATTTGGAGACTTCTTTTAGAACTGAAGGATAACATTTCTGAACCCCTAATTATATTCAAACCATCAGGGAGAAAAGGGGCTAAATACCACATTGTCTCTTCCCAATGGAGAATTAGGAAAGAAAATTGCCAAAGGGGAAAAATAGAAAATGAAATACGTCTTTTTTTAGACATTCTCATCCTGGTTTGTAAGTAATATTCTCTTTTTTATCCTGAGAATGTAAGAATACAAAGTTCTTGGGATTTCCAAGAGTCATCTTTGACCTTGAAGTCCTGAATGCCAGTCTTCCAGTCATACCACCATACCCTTCTCCAATAGGCTAACTGGTTGCAATCCTCAGTGAATGAATTAATTGTTATTTTCTTACTGAAAATTATAACCAATTTGTGGAAATGAGTACTGATGACTTTTGCAACACACATTAACAGTTGTGTAATTCTTATTTATGATTCTAACCATCAATCAGCTGTAATTGGAAAACAAAAACTTGTGGAGTGGCATGGGGAATTAATACTCTGTCTTTTCCCCCTATATATCCAAAGAAGAAGGTTAGATGGAACAGCCTTAACTTTCCCACGCTAGGAAACCTATACTCTTCCAAGACCCTTAACATAGCAAGAGGTAGTCACCTGGATAAATATTTTTTCTTATTCTTCATTCATTTATAGAAAATTCTGTAATTCACTTGTATATGCCAAATTCTTCCCCCATTGTTAACATAGAAATCTCCTAGAATTAAATTATTCTAGCCCCATTCATGAGTTTCACAACCATGCTCTCTACTTATTTTTTTCAGTTTCTGAAATCCTGGGTAGGAGTTTCCTTGAATATTGCTCCTTCTTAATGGAGCCTAAAGCAACAGAAACTGGAAGAGGTGATGAAGGAGAGAAAGAAAAGGACATTCTCAAAAGCAGGCCTGTTTTCTGAGTCATGATTTACTAAAAGACTTCCCTGGCCACAGTCCCCCAACTAATTTCAATCTGAATAGGGGAATAAGGTCAGACACCACCAACAACATACACCAGAGTCATTCCTCTGATAGCTGCAAATTAGCCCTGGGAAAGAACACGTATTAGCCTGAAAAATTCATGAAGATTCGAATCTGCGGCCTAATTAGCTACAGTGGTTGATACAAGAGAAAAAAAAAAATAGCTCACAACTAACACTGTCAAATTAGAGGCATTTGCTGGAACTTTGCATTGAATGTTTGGATCGATTGAAATATCCAAATGACCAGCTAAATCCATCAGGAATCAGGACCACTAGAAAGTTTGTTACTATGCTATAACATTTGCATATGAGTGAATCAGAAAACAGAATTTAAGTCAAATCCACTGCCATATGAGACAAATATGTGTATGCTATAGGGAATAGTGACATGAATTTCAAATCAGTGTGAATTAGGAGACATAGAGTGAACACACAATTTCTCCAGAGATTGGAAATATGCATTTGCTCCAATTTCACACTCATCAACCCTTCCCTTTCTCGAGAAACAAAAATTGAATAAAAATTAACCTGTGCCTAGACACTTCTAGTAGAATGTATAACTATATATCATAAATGTGTTAGTTCCAATAGATCTAACCATTGTCTCTCGCTTCTCTAACATTCACCATAGTGATGACCTAGATAGGCTAGCAGAAAGGTCAATGAGAAGAATAATGGCTTTTATAGATAGAGAAAAGCCTGAAGAACTTGTGTAAGAGCTGGCCCAAAGCAGACTTCTTCCATCCTTCTCCATATGTTGACATCCAAGAACTGGTGACGAAAGGGGAATTTTCTGAAAGAGAAAAAATGTGTATAAGAATAAATGGTGATTATGAGGAAATTGTTTTTACTAAATTTTACTTTTTCTTGTGGAATGGCATTGGATATGACATCATTCAGGGGCCCAGGTAAAAAAATTGCTTGGGACTCAAAGGATTAAGAGGAGCCAAGGAGCAGGGGGGCAGGTATCAGAAAAAATGAATCCAGAATCAGGTAATTTGCCTCTTGTTTTATTCTCCAGACTTTACATAGTAGTCGAAGAATTTTGGAGAGTTTCTCCTAGGCATCCAGCTCAGCTTACCTTGGTGATAAAGAACTCAGTCCAGGAAGAGGGAGCATGATTTGCCTCAGGAAATGACATTGTGTCATTTCTGGAGAAAATCAACCTAATGGCTGGTGAACGAAAAGAATCTACCAAAACTTGGTCAGGAGAACAATGTTTTATTATTGAACTACTGTCACTGCTAACGTTTCATACTGAGTCATAATTTATTTCCCTGAAAGGTATCCCTACTAATTATTGAAGAAAATATGTCATTCATTCACAGCTATACAAACATAGATTTAGGTACTATATGTATATATACTTAATATGTGAATATATCCATATATATACCCATATATATGTATATATACATGTTAACCATTTGCTAAGTGATAAAAGGAGGGATCAAAACAAAGAAATATTTTGTAAGTTTATCTGGAATCTTAGGCCCTGAAATAAATTTATGTAGATAATCAATATCAAAATACTTCAAGAAGTTTGTGGAAAAATGAAATTAAAGGTTAATTTTCCTTAGATGCAAAAAAATGTTGATATCCATACATAGTTTTTTCATAATACATATTTTTCATGAACAATTTAAAGATCCTTGTGAGCATGGATTTTAACTTTTTGCACCATAATTAACTTATCTTTTAATTTCATTTGCCTTGAACTTGTTGAAGTACATTAACAGACAAGAAATATACCTAATAATGCAACTCAAGGAAAAATTCCCAGTGTGTGGGATGGATAGTAAGAAAAACAAGAGTTTATAGGAGGGCATGACAATCTTAAAGGTAGAGATTTTTCAAAGGTAATCTAAAGGATGGTGAGATTTGATTTAATGGACTAGAGGGAAAAAAGGGTAAGAGAGCAGAGGATCAGCATAAGAAATGATGCAGATGCAGGTGTGCAAACATTTCCTTGTAGATTAGTGAATAACATATCAGTAGTTGCCTGGCTCAGAGGCAGAACTGAGTTTTACTTTGTACCAACCAATCAGAAGGCTGCCTGACCCTTCCCATACCTTATGTTTTCTAATCTCCCACTGCTACCTTCAGGAATGAGTACAGCTGAGAGAAAAGTTGAGAGACATCAGAGGAAAGAAGGAAGACGGTTGCACAAAGACAACATTTTGCTCCAAGAATTTGCTTACATTTAGCCAATGATCTTGAAGTGGTTGGGGTGTGATTATCGGATTATGTTGGTTTATTCATATGCCTTCTGTCTTAGATTCAGTTCTATTCCCCCAAAGGACCACTTTACACAATTCCACTTGAGTATCAGGCATTCCAAAGAGTTCTAATTGTTCCCACATCATGTCATTGTTAAAGTTAGCCTTTGAAGAGTATTCTCTATAATAATGTTGATATTTAACACACTTGCACTAAGACAAAGTGTTCCTGTTGGTTGCATTTTAGGAAATCCCAGATCTCTGGTGGTGCCATCTGTTCAAGACAAGGTGTAATTCCATGGCTTTGGGGTATTTGGGCCTCCCTCTGGTTATCTCCTGAATTAGAGCCCATCTGGATACAAATACATGACTGTTTTTTTGTAGATCCAAGAATAGCTTTTAGGAAAAAGTACAAAAACCAAACTTCTAGGTCAAGTAATATATGTTGTCCACCAACAAGTCTTGTCTTTTATGCTATAGATATTCTAAAGCTAAAATTTTGTGATCTTTTTTCACATACTGTTAGCAGTTGTAGTAGTTGAAGTAATGACTTAACGAATAAAAACAAATATTCCTGGAAAACCAGTGTAACTACAATCAGTTTGGAGTGACAAAAGAACCTAAAATCTTTTATTTAAAAAAAATAGAACTAAGCCAATGAGGGTTCTTAGTTCTAGAGACCCAAAAGAGATGGAGAAGAATCAGAGTGGGAAGAATATAGACTAGGAAAGTTGGGTTATTAAAAATAAGATAGTGTCCAGCACTGTGAATAAACTAACTTTTGGGATGCCAGCCTCACTGGTTTGAGTCCCAACTGCTCCACTTCTGATCCAGATACCTGCTAAGGCACCTGGGAAAGCAGCTGAATATGGCCCAAGTGTTTGGTCCCCTGCACTCATGTGGGAGATCCAGAAGAAGTCCCTGGCTCAGCCTTGGTCATTACAGCCATTTGGGGATCTCCCAACCAATGGATGAGAGATCTCTCTCTGTCTCTCACTCTCTATATATCCTCTGCCTTTCAAATAAATAAAATAAATTTTAAAGAAATTGCTGGAGTATGACTTGTACTTTACTTTCCTGCATCCCAGTAATGAATGTGGAAATCTTAGTGACAGTGGGATGACTGACAGGTCAAGAGGAAGTTCAGAGTCTATCTTTGTCGCCAGGCTACACTGTGCCAGTCTATCACAGATGTAAGTATGTAAGCTAACAAACTCTTCCTATTAATTTCCTTCCCCAGACCCTTTATAGCTGGTGAAAAATTCATTCTGAAGGTTCAAGACATTGGTATTTCTATCAAAGCATAGAAATTACAATGTTCAGGATCTAACTATCAGGGAAATGAAAATAAAAAATACAATGAGGTATTGTATCACTCCAGTTACAATGACTATTACACAAAAATCAAAATATAACATGCTAGCAAGGAAGTGGATAAAGGGTAACCCTAATATACTGTTGGTGAGAATATATATTAGTAAAACCATTAGTTAAAACAATATGGAGATTCTTTTTTTTTCCTTATTTTTTTTTTCTTTCAAACTTTTATTTAATGAATATAAATTTCCAAAGTACAGCTTATGGATTACAATGGCTTCCCCCCCATAACATCCATCCCACCCGCAACCCTCCCCTTTCCCGCTCCCTCTCCCCTTCCATTCACATCAAGATTCATTTTTGATTCTCTTTATATACAGAAGATCAGTTTAGCATACATTAAGTAAAGATTTCAACAGTTTGCTCCCACACAGAAACATAAAGTGAAAAATACTGTTTGAGTACTAGTTATAGCATTAAATCTCAATGTACAGCACACTAAGGACAAAGATCCTACATGAGGAGTAAGTGCACAGTGACTCCTGTTGTTGACTTAACAAATTGACACTCTTGTTTATGGCTATGGAAGCCCCCTGAGTTCACTGACTCTGATCATATTTAGACAAGGTCATAGTCAAAGTGGAAGTTCTCTCCTCCCTTCAGAGAAAGGTACCTCCTTCTTTGATGACCCATTCTTTCCACTGGGATCTCACTCACAGAGATCTTTCATTTAGGTTTTTTTTTTTTTTTTTCCCCAGAGTGTCTTGGCTTTCCATGCCTGATAGTCTCATGGGCTTTTCAGCCAGATCCGCATGCCTTAAGGGCCGATTATGAGGTCAGAGTGCTGTTAGGACATCTGCCATTCTATGGGTCTGCTGTGTATCTCACTTCCCATGTTGGATCGTTCTCTCCCTTTTTGATTCTATCAGCTAGTGTTTGCAGACACTATTCTTATTTATGTGATCCCTTTGGTTCTTAGTCCTATCATTATGATCAATTGTGCACAGAAATTGATCACTGGGACTAGTGAGATGGCATTGGTACATGCCACCTTGATGGGATTGAATTGGAATCCCCTGGTATGTTTCTAACTCTACTGTTTGAGGTAAGTCAGCTTGAGCATGTCCCGAATTGCACATCTTCCCTCTCTTATTCCCACTCTTACATTTAACAGCGATCACTTTTCAGTTAAGTTTCAGCACTTAAGAAGAATTGTGTATTGATTATAGTATTCAACCAAAAGTATTAAGTAGAACAAACAAAAAAATACTAAGAGGGATAACATATCAAGTTGCTCATCAACAGTCAGGGTGAGGGCTGATCAAGTCACCGTTTCTCATAGTGTTCATTTCACTTTAACAGGTTTCCTTTTTGGTGCTCAGTTAGTTGTCACCTATCAAGGAGAACAAGTGGTATTTGTACCTTTGGGATTGGCTTAATATGGAGATTCTTAAAAAAGCTAAAAGTGGATCTACCATATAACTCAGTTATTACACTTCTGGGAATGTATCCAAAGGAAATGAAGTCAGTACATGAAAGATATACCTAAACTCCCACGTTTATTGCAGTCCAGTTCACAATAGCCAAGATATGTAACCAACCTAGATGTCCACAAATTGATGGCTGGGCAAAGAAAATATAGCAGGGGCCAGCGTTGTGGCGCAGTGGGTTAATTTTCCACAGGCAGCACCGACAGCCCATATGGGCACCGGTTCTAGTCCTGGCTACTCTTCTTCCAATCTAGCTCTCTGCTGTGGCCTGGGAAAGCAGTAGAAGATGGGCCAAGTCCTTGGGTCTCAACACCCACATGGGAGACCAGGAAGAAGCTCCTGGCTCCTGGCTTCAGATCGGCGCAGCTCCAGCCATTGCGGCCATTCGAGAAGTGAACCAACGGAAAGAAGAACTTTCGCTTTGTCTCTCCCTCACTGTATGTAACCCTACCTCTCAAATAAATAAATGAAATATTTTACAAAAAGAAAATAAAGCAAATATATAATATATATATATAATTCATCCATTAAGTGAAATCCTGACATTTGCAACAAAATATACAGAATTGGAGATCATTGTGAAACAAGGCAGACACACACACAAAAAAATCCAAATGTGTTCTCTCATATATTTAATATAATATATACAGAATATTTTAAATATGCGGATGTCATATTACTTGGTAAATAGGTATTTTTGAATATTATCTTCATTGTATAATACTCTCTAAAGACTAATATACCCTTCCTTCTTCACTTTAAGATCT